GTCGAGCTGTTGTTCACTGTCTTAGCTGTAGAGGGCGCAGTGTCACTGGCCCTCATGTGGGATCCAAACTGGGGTTCTGCTGCTCAGAGCTGGCATCCCAAGCCAACTCTTAACCAATGAACCACTTGGCCAGCCATGGATTCTTTTTATTGTTGTTCTGATTGGGTGTTTTCTGCTACCTTAGCTTCTAAACTGCTGATTCAATTCTTTGCTTCATCTAATCTACTACTGATTCCAATATATTCTTTATTTCAGTTTTTGTATTCTTAATTTCTGACTGGTTCTTTTTTATGTTTTCTATCTCCATTTTTATGTGCAGTCTCTTTTTTGAAGTTCTCACTGAGATCATTGAGCATTCTTATAACCAGTGTTTTGAATTCTGTGTCTGGTAGACTGCTTGTCTCCATTGTTTAGTTCTTTTGCTGGAGCTTTGTTCTATTCTTTTATTTGGGACTTGTTTCTTTGTCCTTATTTTGGCTGCCTCCCTTTGTTTGTTTCTAGGTATTTAGGTAGGGCTGCTATGCCTCCTGGTCTTAGTAATGTGGCCTTATGTAGTAGGTGTCCTGTGGGGCCCAGTGGTGCCGTCTCCCTGGTCACCTGAGCTGGAAGTGTTCCTTGTGTGGGTTTTGTGTGCCCTCCTGTTGTAGTTGAGCCTTGGTGAGCTGTTTGCACATCAATGGGAGGGACTGACACTCAATCCCTATTTGGTTGTGAGGACTGGCAGTGACTACAGTGGAGTTGCTGTTGTACAAGGGGCTGAACTTAAGGAGCAAGATTTGCTTTGGCAGGGCTCTGCCCTTTGAGTGTATCGCCCAGGAAGGCAGCTGGGTGGTGCTCTGGCTGGGTGCTGGCCCTGCGGCCTCCCGGGAAGGGGCCCCGCTGGAGGTCAAGTTAAGCCGAAGCCTGTACCCTGCCTGGGGCCATGTGGCATGAGCCACAAAGCAATCCGCAGCCACCTGCGCTGGGTTTGGAGGTGCATAGGAGAGGATAAGCCATGAGTCAAGGACGGTTGCCACTAGTGACAGGTTTGAGGCTGCTTAGCAAGAGGTATGGGGCACACCAAGGCCAGATGCTGCTTACGAACCTTTGAGAAATTTTAGGAAAGTCCATAGCATAAGCCAAGACAGGCCATTTGTATGGAAAAACCAATGGAAGCAGCTTGGGTAGGTCCACAAGTTGGGTGGGGCAGGGTCTAAGGGAATCACCAGGGCGGGGTGAACGATCACCAGGAAATCACCAAGCCAGATTAATGGAGACTCAGATATGGCGTCCACCTGTGTCTGCATGCTGGGAGAAGGGAGAGCTCAACAAAGAAATAGTGAATTCTGTCACCACTTCCTTCCGTCTGGGAGAAAACTGCCCCTCCAGCACTCACTCTGAAGCCAGAAGCCAGACAACTTAGTTCCTCCCTGTATGTCCCTGGTGCCTTTCAAGCTGCTGCCCCAGCCCTGGATCTCAGAGCGAGTGAGATGGTCAGCGAGTAAGTCCGTGTGTAGGCCCTTTAAGAAGAAAGCCTGGGACTCCAGCAGCTCTCCGGCCCACTCAGCTACAATCTCTGTTGGCTTTCACAGCCAGGAGATGTGCAGACTTTTCTTCCTGGCACTGGGACCCTGGGATGGGGAGCCTGGTGTGGGGCTAGGACCCCTCACTCTTCCAGGGGTGGGGGCTTTCACAGCTGAGCTATCCCTCCCGATTTTGAAATGCCATATGTGGGTGTGGGAAGAGTTGTTTCTGCATCTCTGCCCTTCCTACCATGCTCAAGATGGTTTCTTCTGTACGTCCTTAGTTGTAGGACTCTGTTTAGCTAGACTTCTCAGTGATGGTTTTTCTGTAGTTTTTCATGGTTGGATTTAAATCTACCACATTGCTTATTGTCTTCTATTTGTTCATTATTATTTATTCTGCATATCCTGCCCGCCTTTGGATTGAGTATAATTTATGGGTCTATTTTATCTAGTTATACCTCTTTCGTTTTTTTGTGTCATTGGCCTAGGGTTTATAATATACATCTCTAATTTACCAGACCAACTTCAAATATCATACCATTTCACACTGTCAAGAACTGTGAAGAGTCTGAAATTTTACCCTACTTCCAAGTTAACAAGTTAGTCAGTCACAGTTTCATGGATCCTGGGAGATGGAGATTTCTGGGTCAGTGATGAAGGATGGTTTGTTAGTCACATCAATAGCAGTAAACCAGAGCATTAGTATTTTTGCACTTGTTTCCCCAAGCCCCAATTTGCACAAGGCTGATTTGAAGAGGGCAAGATGACCTTTGCACATGCAATAGGTTGTATTATAGGAACAGAACTCTGAGCTTAGGGACTTAAATCTTTTCTAATTCCTACCTTTTGCTCCAGAGGAAGATACGGACATGCCCCCATCCTGCCTCTATGTTCTCTTTGCCTAGAACACTGACCCTAGATATCTGGCTGGCTCACTCTCTACCTTCTTCAAGTCTTAGCTCAAATGCACATTCTCAGAAAGGTCTTCTGTAACTGTACTCTTTAGATTTGTAATTTCCCATCCTTATTTCAACTAGCACTCATTATTCCTCTTTCTTCTTTTTTATTTTGGCGTAAGCAACTAGGTAGGTGTTGATGGCATTTATTGAGATAAGGAAGAGTGTAGAGGAAAAAGTTGATTCATTTTGTGTTTCATTTTTTTGGAGAAAAGAAATAATTTTGATTTAACCTTGTTCAACATTTGTGGGACTGTTATACTGGCAACTGAACGCACTAGTTTGGAGTTCAGCAAAGATGGTCAGGTCTGGAAATATATAAGATCTAACGTGAATTTTACACTGTCCAGAGATAAAAATAGTTCTTGCCTTTACCATACTACACAACTATTAGTGTTCATTGCCTCTGTTCTCCACTTTTGTTCAGCCATGAAATTTCTTTCATGTCCTCTCTCGTTTGGTGTGGTGTTTTGTCCTGCTGCTTAATTCAGCCAGATCATCTTGTGAGTTAGATGGGAGGGATGGGTACCAGTGGCTAATAGAAATCTGGCCCCTTGAAAAACACACGTCTAGCTCCTGCAGAAGTTAAAAGTGCTCCAAGGTTAGTCACTCCTGTCTCAGATATTCAACATTGCCAAGTGTCTTAATGAAAAAATCTACTCTCAACTTCCTGTCAGCTAAAAATAACAGTAGATTCATAGTCTCCTCTACCAATACTTTTCAAGGTTAACCTCATGAAAGAAGAAATAGTGAAGGCTTGCTTAAGCCAAAATTTCAGTGGCATTTAGGGGAGGGAAGGTAAAGTGCTGAAAGAGGCAAAAAGTAGAGATGTTATTTATATCTTTATCATGGCATTTTTTCCAAAATATGTAAAAAAAGTTTAAAATGTTTTTGAATGAATTTCCAGTGTACCCAGCACTGTTTTGGATGGCAGTATTCAACAAAAAGTTGTTGGAAAACCTGCTCATTTGAAATCTTACTTAGGTTCATTTAAGTGAGTATTGAAAGCACGGAGTTTATAATGAGAAGACCTGGATTCAAGGCTTGACTGAGTGACTTACTAGCTAAGTGACCTTGAGCTGACCGGTTTTTCCTCTCAAGCCTTGCTTTGCCTCCCTCAAAGGAATGGTTCAAGGGTCAAATGAGAGCGAGTATATGCAGATAACCCACAATGATAAAGCCCTATGCAAATACGCAATCATTATCTATGACAATGATTCTTAGGCTTGGATTTGTATTAAAATCACCTGGGGAACCCTCTCTCAGCATCTTGGTTTCCTTATCTGATATAATGGTTAAATGCATTTTAGGACATCCATAATACAGATATTAAAATGTGAGATTTTTCAAAGAATAAATGATATTAAAGAAAAATGCTAATGATCAAAATGTTAAGTTTTTTGTTTTGTTATTTTTTTAAAACATTTTTTATTGGGGAATCGGGGAAGGGGAACAGACAACTTGCTGTCCTTTTGTTCTTCAGTCTAGCTGTGGAGGACGTTGCTTCACTGGCCCATGTTGGTATTATCATTGTGTGAGGCAGATCACGGTCGCCGGCCACTGGACGGCTGCTCACGGAGGCTCTTGGCAACTCACACCGGCTGCCGGCCGTTCACGCTGGCTGCCAGCCACTCGTGGTAGCTTACGGCCGCCCACTGCTGCCCCACTGCAGCCTACGCTGTCGCTGGCGACTCCCAGCAGCCCAGCTCCAGGTCGAACTGTTGTTCACCATCTTAGCTGTAGAGGGTGCAGGGTCACTGACCCTAATGTGGGATCTGAACGGGGGCCCTGCTATTCAGAGCGTCCCAAGCCAGCTCTTAACCAATGTGCCACTCCTTTGGCCCCGATTTTTTTTTTTTTTTAGCTGAGCCATCCTGCCACCTGTTGGCAGCTCAGTGGCAGCTCAGCTCGGGCAGGGAATCGAACCGCTGTTGCTTAGAGCTCACACTCTTTAGCGAGCTCTTAACAAACTAAGCCACTCGGCCAGCCCCAAAATATTAAGTTTTTAACAGAATATATAACTGTATAAAGTACGATCTCAATTCTATTAAATATATATGTGTGTGTATACATACGAGTATGTTTATGTATATAAGACATACACACACATAAGGAATGAGACAACTGTTACAACAGAATAATAGCAGATGTTGAAGAGACTATATTATAGTTTTTATCAAAGTTTGTTAAACTTTCTCTGCTTTTTTTTTAGGTGTATTCATTTTTCTATCAAGGTTAAATCCATTTAAAAAAAATTTTTTTTTATTGTTAGTTTCAGGTGTACAGAACAATGCAATAGTTACCCTTTTCACCCTCACAAAGTAACAACCCCCCTCCCCCCATCTATTGCCCTCCCACCCCCGATATCATGCTTATCTATTATAATTCCATTGAATCCGTTCCCGCACTCTACTCCATGTCCCGAGGTTATATGTATATATAATTATAGTTGACATACAGTATTATTCAACATCAGTTAAACTTTCTCTGCTTTAATATTTAAAAAAGAACCATAACAGATATCACCATTTACACTTACCAGATCAATATTTTGCATTATATCCTGAAATGAAGGATGAGTTTGAAATTGTTCAAAGAGCTCTCGTTTGTAAAGCAGTGCATATACCAAGTTTGGATTGTGGTGAAGAGAATTCGTCAGGCAGGAATTGATGATCTCTAACATCATCCGAATCACTTCTTCAATGACATTTAGGTCTTGGGCCTGATGGAGAAAGAAAATCCCCGCAGAGTCAGTGTTTTTCTCAGAGTTTTTTTGACACAGAGTTAATCAGAACTAGAGCAACTGCTTTAAAATTGTAACAACACTGGAAAGATCATGCAAAAGAATTCTTCAATATTATTTTTGTCAAGAATCCTTAGAATTAGTTTTATCAGTTACTAAAGGATTTGAGTGAAAAAATTTTGAACTTCAGGAATTTCACATAATAAATTACAGACGCGTCAATCCAGAAGGAAATGTGGAGATTGTCTGGCTCCTCATTTAATGTATACTTACTTGTATTCTCATCACTGTGTCACCCTAAATCAATAGACTTTCATAATATAAAGTGGTGATAGGGTCTTACCAATTCCAAGAAAAGTGCCTAATTCAGAATATGGCCCCATTTTTCTGCACTGTCATTTTGATCTTTACATTTGCAGATAAAGAGCCTATTGTTTTCTTTCTGTTTCCCACAGAGTCAACAGTCTGTGGGATGTGAACATGAAATAGTTATCAAGCAGCAAAACGCGAAGTAAGCCATTAACAAATCTCTTGGAAGAAAGAGCAAAAATATATGTAAATACAACCTACTTTCCTTTTCCTCTTGAGTTTTCTAAATTATGTTTGCCAGTTGAAGCAAAAATTATAACATTGTCTGATGAGGTTCTCAGTGTAATCCTCTTTTATAGTGCCCAGAATTTATTTTGTTTTATTGAGTTTTCAATTTTAATGACTATTTTTCATTTAAGGTTTTCTAATTAACTAGCTCTCTGTCACAGTCAAATTCTTGTTTCATTTCTCCCTGTTTTTATTTCATAATTATTTATTCTTCTTTGTAATTATTCCTTCATTTATCTTTGAGGATACTAAAAATACTTAAGAGTATTTTCAAAATTATTCTATTAATTTTCAATTCTGTTTGGATAAATTTACTTAATTATGATCATAATTATTTTGGCTGTCTTTCTTAGTATTAAGTTATATTTTAACATGTATTTTGGAATTTTGGTGATGCAGGCTCATTTAATGTGGCTTAATCCCCCCAAATCTACAGGTCACGCAGTGGCTTCCTAGAGTCTGCAATTTCCCAGTCTGAAACGAGGTATTTTTTTTTTTTTTAAAGATTTTTATTGGGGGAATTGGGGGAATGGGAACAGTGCTGGGGAACTGGGGGAAGGGGAACAGACAAGTTGCTGTCATCTTGTTCTTCAATCTAGTTGCGGAGGATGTTGCTTCACTTGCTTCACTGGCCCAAGTTGGCACCATCATTGCGCTCTTCTCTGGTGAGGCAGATCAGTCGCCGGCTTCCGGACGGCCGCTCACTGCGGCTGCTGGCCGCTCACGCTGGCTGCTGGCTACACACAGTAGCCCATGGCAACCCACTGCCACAGGGGCTGCAGCCCACGCCGTCGCCGGCGAGTCATGGCAACCCAGCTCCAGGTTGAGCTGTTGTTCAGCATCTTAGCTGTAGAGGGCAGTGTCACTGGCCCTCATATGTGGGATCCGAACCGGGGCCCTCTGGCATCCCAAGCGAGTTCTTAACCATCGCGCCACTCGGCCGGCCCTGAAACGAGGTATTAAAACTGGTATCTGAGGGCACCTGCCCTGCAATGACACTGCAGATAGTAAGGGCAGGGTCTGTCACCAAGACAGTTATCAGTTTGCCTCAAAATCCCATTGTGAGGTTGGTTCTGTGAATTCCCACCTCCTCAGACATAGAATTTAACAGCCAATATTAACACCTTTAAGTCAGGTTCTTTTCAATAAAAGATCTATTCCAGCTCCCACTTTCTAGCAGGGAACCCGGCACTAGTGTGTTGCCTCTCACCTGGGCACCTTTAGTGCTGTACCTTACCGTAGACACTCCTGCCTCCTTCTGGCCTGATGCTCTGCAGGCTCACTGCTTCAGATCCTGCCCTCTGCTTCCATTTCTTTTTCTGCTCTGAGAAGGATCTATCTCATTTTGGGGCGTGGCTATGTGTTTTAAATGTTCTCTTATTATAGTTCATCTATTATTTTTATGTTTTTAGAGTAAAGAGACGAGATTAGCCTTCAAATTGGGAACTGATGATATAATCTTGACCAGAGTTCTCTCAATTATATTTTCAATCTTGTTTTGGTACTTGAATTAGTAGAGGAAGAGGTGGAGGCTGCAAGTTTCAGAATTCTCTCTTAAAGTCATTTAAGGCAACCCAGTGAGATAGTATGACTACAAGTCAAAAAGTTAGCTTTCTGCAGAATTTTATGTTCATAAATATTTCATATACTCACTTATATATAAAACTTACATTTCAAAAATGAATTATCTGTTGATAGCTTATAATTTCTGCTTTCAAACACATTGATAATTTATTCTCAATGTTTTAATGAGCAAATCTACTGAAACAAAGAGGGTAATATATCCAATCCCCAAATAGGCATCTGCTCATTTCGACCCAAACTAAATGATTGACCATTTATTTTATTCCCAAGTCAGGTAAAGCATAAACTGGAAACTTTACATCAATAAGCACATCCCACATTAGTTTTCACTTTGCATCAATCAATTTGACTGAAGGCTCTTTAAGAGTTATATGAACCCTCTTGTATTTAAAGGAGTTATTGGGTATTTTATTTCTCTTATATTGCTTCTGTGACAAGTTAAGTTCTAGTTCTAATGCTATCTTTTACAAATTATTTTTAATGCAAATTATTTTAAATTAAATGACAGGAACATCAAGTTTCTCACATTACTCAAATCAACTGAAAATATAACATTAAAAGTTACGGCAAAGATATTTTATACGACATCATATTTTGTTGGACTGTCATACTAGAAAACTTGTATTTTAATGCTGTAAAACTATTAAGAAAACAAAAATGAGAAATTAAACATAATTTAGAAATTAAAAATAAGTTTAAATTAAACAGTAGTAGATTACAATTTTCTGTCAATGTCTATTTAACATGTAACATTGTAAAAAATTTAGGTTATTAAAAATTCAACATAAAGACCTCCCAACCCTAGCTCAACTACCCAGTTTATAAGTAAAGCCAATTTCCTTCTTGGTTACATCCAGGGGTGAAATTCAAAATATATAACAATTAGTAGGTCAAAATATTTAACAACTGCTAGTCCTACTGGGTGTGGGTTGTATACAACAGGGAGCAGCGCAGCCTACCAGCTTTCGCCTGCCGGATGTCAGTCACAGTTATTCCCACAAGTACTTTCTTTTTTTTAACAATGTGTTTTTTTTGTTTTTTGTTTTAAAAGATTTTATTGAGGAATTGGGGGAGGAGAACAGTGTTGGGGAACTGGGGGAGGGGAACAGCTAAGTTGTCCTTCAATCTTAGTTGTGGAGAGCGCAGCAAGCTCAGCTCCAAGTCCAGTTGTGCCGTTCAACTCAAGGTGCTGTGTTCAATTAGTTGTGGGTGGACGTAGCCCACCAGCAGCCTTGTTGTTAAGAGCACACGCTCTATCCCCTGAGCCATCTGGGTGGCAGCTCAGCTCAAGGTGCCGAGTTCAGTCTTTAGTTGTGGGCGGGCGTAGCCCACCATCTCGAACAGGCAACCTTGTTGTTAGGAGCACGTGCTCTCACCAGCTGAGCCATCCTGCCACCTGTTGGCAGCTCAGCGGCAGTTCAGCTCGGGCACAGCTCACTGGCCCATGTGGGAATCGAACCGGCGATCCTGTTGCTCAGAGCTCAGACTCTTAACCAGCTGAGCCACTCAGCTGGCCCCCCCACAAGTACTTCCAAAGGGACTATTTCTTGAGAAATAAAATGAGGTTTCCTTAAATTCAGGTATCTACTACATTATTATTTTTTATGTCCCCAAAACTATACCAATAATTTCTACACAGAGTATTTTATTCAATTTAATTCTTTAGCTTAATACTAAGCAATTCAGTTATTATCCAGTGAGAAAGCGTAGAATTTGATCAAAAAATTATAAAGTCATAAAACACACTCAGAAGTTATCCACGACGCTCCTGACACTCCCCTTTAATGCAAGAATCCCTTCTATCATATTCATTTCAAGTTGTCAGCCAACTTATCCTTGAACACAGAAACTTTTTGAGAGGCTCTTGATTCATTCCTTTGTAGTTACAGAAAGCTGTGATAGCTTAGCTGAAGCCCATCAATTTAGTTCACTTTCTCGTTGGTCTTTGTTCTATGCCATTGTCACAGCTATCATTTTCTCCTCAACCCACCAGGAGCTTCAATTGTCCCTCAGTATCATCTGGTTTAAGGACTTATTCTATTCAGATTATGTTAGATACCCACCATTTGGACTGTTTGGATCATAGATATAATTCTGCATATTTAGTTACCGCCATTAAGATACATAATAAGTACATACGTACATAAATGTATACTTATAATCCTAGCAACTAATTCATTTCCATTTTCAAGTGGCAGCAGTTCTCTGCTAACCACCACTTTAATCATCCCCTTAAAGAACAGCTAGCATTCCTGCTGCTTAAGTTGCTTCCTAGAAACCATGCTCTTATGGACCCTTCCATTTGTGTTGCAAGATAAACTGCAGATTCAAGGCACCACACAGGTCATGAAATAATCATGGGCCAGAGGGGTAAATTATATACCAGGAGATTCTGATTTACTAGATATAAAGTATCAAATTTTTGGCTAATTCTAACTTCCAAGGCAAAGTATCCCAATAATTATAATTTACAAATGACCTGAATCTTCCAGTTGTTACCATGACTAGATTCTGGTGCAAGTACCTACCTACTATGCATGGCAATAAACAAATGAAATCTTTTATGTTTCAATTTTAAAAAGCACTATTGGGAAATAATCACCACTTGTAAAAAAGATGAAAAATTAGCATGAATTTGATTAGTGTTTCTTTAAAATTACAAAGTCATCCAAATTTTAGTATTTAAACGGATCTAAATGGTTATCTAATCACTTTTGAGTGTCAGAATTTCAAATGGTGTTTAAAGAAGGTTGCTATTTGATGTCTTTTCATGAAGATCAAATGAGGTAGTATTTATA